ACCACTTGCGAGAAAAGAGAATCAGAACTAGTGTTGTACCCTCTTTCGTAAGTACACAAATGCTACAGAATTCATACTCAGATTTTCTAAAGTTTTTGGTTCAGTCTTTGATAAGGATAGGGATTAACTGTGCAATTTGGCTTGCATGGCAATTTTAAAACCTAAATCTCTACTGTAAGAGCTGAAGTTGTGTTTAGTCTGTGAGCAAACATCTAGTCATTTTTCTGTCATGTCTTTCAGTGAATCTGATTTCCTGTTCTAAAGTTGTTAAAATTATTCAAGGGGCTGATTGTGAAAGCTTACCAGCACAGGAAACTAATGGATGGATAGTAAAGAGAAGGGGAAGATGATTCAAGCCACTAATTTTGTTGCTTTATCTTCTATTATTTAGCAACCCAGATCAGTCAGAGAGCTACTGGAAGTTGCACTACGCAGTTTATAACTCACTTAGGGTTATAGGGATCATAGCAATACATTTCAGTTTTTCTGTTCTAGACCATGATCTACAAGGGCTAGCATACAAGAACTACACAATTTTTATTTTAATCAGAATTTTCTTGACACGTTGATTAACCATTTTTGTGCTTCTCCAAATAAGCTGCTTAAATATCGTTCACATATTACGGTGTGTAATCAGCTCATTTGGACAGTCATGGAAAATTCTCCATTCCTATCAGTTTGGAGTTAATCAACTCCAAAGATATTTTATTTTAACTAGTAAGAACAGTTAGTAGTTTTCAATTCTGAAATTTTCAGTAGAGCAGTATTGAACAGGTTGTCTGCAACTCCAGCATGAAAATGAAACAAAGACAAAAGGAGATGTATTTGTAAAGAAAATTAATCCATTAGAGGTCAAAGCAGTCATTAAATTGATTAGACTAGACTACTGAAATAGATTTTTTCTGAATAAGTAATTATTATGGAGTCATCAAATATGTATGTGTTCTTATGTGTAATTGAACCGCTGTCTTCTGATTTATACCAACGTGCATCAAAAGAACGCTCAAAGAATTATAAAAAGAAGGGCTTTTTCTCCTGTGTTCCAGCTTCTATCTAGGTGAGGTTTTTTCCCATCTAGGGCATATAAATTTCACCTACAACATTCAGAAGAATGGTGGTGCCATTTTTTTAAGAAATAAAGGTTATATGCTACCTATGCATTCTTCAGATGTTGAATACAGTCAAGTACCATGGATGAGATTCCTTTTTCTACTTTTTTCTTTTTTTAAACCTTTGGGAATCTCATTAAAACTGTAATTAAAAGTATATAGGAGCCACAACAAGAAAGGCGGTCTGGAGAATGAAAGAATGCAACATATTCTGCTTCTGTATGTTCAAACTGTCTTTTTTTTTTTTTTTTTAATGATTTTTCCTACCAAAAGTCCTCTGGGAGGCTTTTTGATTTCTAGTTCATGTTGGTGAAGCCAAGATTAAAGAATATGGAGTTTTTCGAAATTAATGCAAGCTCTGCATCTTTTTTTTTTTGAGCAATGCCTGGAATATCATCGTAATTACCATGATACAAATAAATAAAAAAGAAATTTTTTCATATTAGAAAACTTTTTATTAATTGTCTCTACAGCAGGTTGTGTGCAAACTGTAAGAATGATCTGAGGAGTGACCAGGCTGGTTACTTTCCAGTACTATGTCTTCAGCATAAACAGCCCAAGAAGATGTAGTCAGATTAGAATAGAAGAATGTATTACAGCAACAACTCAAACATGGTTTTATCTGAGACAAAAAGACATGCTGTTTGTGGTGTGTATGGGAAGTTTTATATTTTAAAAAGTTCTTTAATTTAAAGTGATACATGCAGATTTTCTTCAAATTCTGCTTAGATCATTTTCATTTTAATTTTTCATTTTTCTTCTCTATTTCATATCTTTTTTCCACTTTACTGTCTCAATCTTATTAATATTCTCATTGACTGTTTTTCCAGTATTATACAACTTATGTCTGTGTATAAACAAGCAAAGATACTTCTGCCACAGTGCTGGTACATGTCCTCATTGGCTAGTGTTCTATCTCACAAATGCAGGATGTGATGTTTTGGTATGGTAGTGTTTTTAAAACAAAAATTCAACCTTTGCTCTTTCCAAATGAGATGACAAAGTGCTTGTGTGACAGTTGCAGAACTGAATCATTTGGGTTCCAGTATTTGGAGCATTGTTTTCTTATACAAACCTAACACAAAAAAAATTACAGTAAAGTACAAAGTGAACAACATGTCATTCTGTCTTTCTATCTGTGTATAAGAAACTGACATTTGAGTTTCTGACATGTGAATGAACCAGAACCTGAATTATACACCTTCTCATCTAAAAGATCTGTTGATTTTCATGCTCACGATAAATAATCATGTCATGCTGCAGATTAAAACTGAGTTAGAGAGCAACAAAGTCCCATTTCACAATGGAACTACAACTGGTCATGCTTCAGGGTCTCACTGAAATGGCTTTAGACTAATATTTAATAGGAGTATTAGCTTTATTAAAAAATAAAATACAATTTACAGTGGCACTGAAGAGGTGGGAACTGTTTCATGTATCCACCTGGCCATGTTGATGGACTGAGCTAGCTGCTCCCAGTCAGATTCCATTAAATTATATTACACCTTCAAACATTAGTGCAATGTTGGAAATTAGCAGGCATATCTTCTTAGAATCATTCAGGAAAGTGGCTAAAGCAGGACCTAACAATCTATGTGAATCTGGAAAAGGCAGACTTTGCAGGACATGGAGCAAGCATTTTGGCAAATCTGTTTCAATTGTTGGTTTATATATGCTGTGTACCCTCCCTGTCTATGCAGAGATCCAAAATCTCCAGGATATTAAGGTTGCATCTTCTGTGAAATTAAATAAAGTCTTTGCTTGATTGTGAGTAGAAGAAAAGCTTGTCTGAACCATGAATGGGAATGTATAGAATCATAGAATCATAGAACCATTTATGTTGGAAAACACCTTTAAGATCATCAAGTCCAACCATAAACCTAACACTTCCCAACAAATAAATATATTTATATTTATTTTGGCATGTAAGCCAAAAGCCAGATGTTTAGGTTTGATGTTTAGGGTTTGTGTCACCTAAATATTAACAAATATTTTGGAATTTTAGGTTCTAAGTAGTGCTTAGGTACTGTGATGAATGGCCCTGTTTAAAATACAGAGATAAGAGTCCAGAGAGGTACTATCCTAGACCCTCACCATTTATCCAGTCCTAAAGTGGTTTTCTGTTTTGCAGAGTGAATTCCACTGAGTAACATTGATTTCCTATTTCAATAAAGGGAACAGTCATCCAAAAGATGGATGAAATATTAAGGGTCTACTAGCTAATTAGATAGATAGATAGATGTACAGATAAATACTGTGCAAATAAAAAACCCAGTATTGTCTTATACAGGATGTATTTAATTTTGAAAACTAAATAACTGTGTGTTTATTTATGTGGAAAATAAAATTCTTTTTAGATTTTAAGAACTATGAAAAAATCAATTTTTACAATGTTAATACATTCTGTATAACCATTGATTGCATGTGTAAACAGGCAATCCATTTTACGCCCAGTAATTCTGAAACATCTGAACTCTTCTCCCTCCACACACCACGTGAAAATTCACAAAACTAAGCATCCCTTTAGGACTGGGAATGTATTTTGCCAATTTGAGCCCGGAGGGGATTGTAACTAGCATTGTAAAGTCCTGATGATAGTTTTATAATGGAAATCCACCTCACTAATGTGATTCTATAATATATAACCAGTCTAATTTGAATCTAAGAGTCTGTTATCCAGGAATACATCTGAAGAGTTAATATTGTTAACCTCTTAATTTTCCTCTTCTCTTGGATTTGAATTACAATTTCCTTTCAAATAAAACCCTCTGATGAGACATCTAATGGTTTTCTACTTTAATTTTGCTGTTCTGGTTGCTTTTACAGCTGTCCCCCATTTTCTTTATATTTAACCCCCTTGCAGAGTCCATGCAGTGAAATCATTATGCAGATCAAAGTATAGTCCTGAGGTCCAAACTCTTCCAATTACATTAGCCTCTTCAAAAATTGATTAGGAAGAGCATTGTGCAGGAAATAGCTATCAACATGTCTTACGTTAAAGTGGAGCTAATGCTCCAAGTGTAGTGTTTGTCATCTCTCTGAGTGTACGTAAACACTTGCAGCCATGTCAGTTCCTTAAAAGTAGTTTGAATCTTACTAGACACTGACAATGTTGCCATGGAGTCATACTTAGATTTCACAGCAAAGCTGAAACTGATTTCCAGATAATAGTGGAGTTAGAAAAGAGAGAGAAAATGAGAATGAATAAACAAAATTCCAAACTGCCTATTATTAGATTTGATACCTATTTCTTCTGTCTTTCTATATCTGTTACAGATATAACAGTGATGTTGTTTGGGGGGTTGGGGTTTTTTTAGATGGAAAAAATATAATTAAAAATTCAGAATGGGTATTATTCTTTCAAGGAAAAGAAATCAAGTGCTCTACCACGTTTTTCTCATTTGAGTGGAAACAATGAGGTCTTTTAATACGTGAATCTCTTTAATGGGTCTATCTTGAAATTGTGTCTGTATAGGGGATAAAAGCTCTGTTATTGCTTCATTAGCCTTCATCTAGCAGTTATGTTTCCCAAAGCAATTTGCAGCATCCTCTTCCTTTCATTGTCACATTTGATCATTATAGAATTTGTTCTGAAGACAGGACAATATTCTTATGTGTGAATTTCAGGGTATAAGCCAGTACATTCAATAATCCCTGTTAGGAATGTAGAATCTGGATGACAAATGATACAATCAATGCCACAGAATTAATCCATAGTAGAACTGCATAATAAACAGAAGATTACACTTTCTGTGCCAATTAATGTCCTATAAATTCCTGCTTTACCTGAAATGTATTATTAAACATTTTTGTTATTGCTGTACTGTTATCATCATATGATGCTTTAAAGTATGAAACTTGGTTTTTTTATTTTGTGATTTCTCTTACTAGTGGCTAGCATTCAGAAGCTTCCTGCTGCATCTGTTTTAACTGACATCAATTTCCCCATGAAAGGAAGAAAAGGAATGGTTGACTGGGCACGAAACTCAGAAGACAGGGTTGTCATTCCGAAAAATATCTTCACCCCTATGTCAACAGGTAAAGAAGCATATCAACATGTTAATTTCATTTTAGCTTTAACAAGGGAACTCAGAATCTTTGTCTCATAGGACCGCTGTGTGATATAGATGTGGTTATTTTATCCATCTTCAAAAGATATCCAGTACCCACAGCTTAGCCCAGAGGGAAATGATGGGGCTTAATTTCGGCATCTTGAACAAAAAGTGCTACAGAAATCCTAGACATTATTTTCTATGCCAAAGAGACAATGCACAAGATTGCA